CCTCATCACTCTCCTGATCCATTTCTGCTTACCGGAGCACGATTTATCGTCGACCGTCGTGCTAAGCCGTCTCGACCACCGCATGTTAAGGTTCTTGACGTGCAAAAGGCAAGCTTTTACTTTGTGCAGAGGAAGCCGAAAAACTCGATGGTTTGTCAGGAATTTCGCAAATACTATTTGTGCATAATTGTGTTCGTGTAAAGACACGGGAATTGTTTACAGAGAAAACAAGAAAATATTGTAACGAGTTAGCATGAAAGTCTTGTATATATGCCGGAGTTGATCAAAGCCAGGGAACGTGATGGTCATATATCAAGTGTGGAACTTCAAATGTATTTCTATTGTCGAGATAAAACATTTAAAGATTGTATAGAGGATGAAGCCTATGAATAACCATATTACAAATTAATCTCTTAAAAAGTTAAATTTAGCTTTGCCTCCCTCATGCGCCCTTGTACGGTTTTAGACCAATATATATATATATATTTTTCTTTAATTCATCGTTTAGAGTTTGTTCCAAATAATTTTGTAAGAAGATTATACTCAAAAACAAGGTATTATTTTTGAATTATTATAAAAACAATATATTGAAAAGTGTGGATTTTGCTTTTTGATTGTACATCCATGTGTGTATCAATCATACAATGTTAGAGTAACTTGTCTATGGACCTAGTTTTTGAGCATATGTGTGTCTTTTGTGCTACTTAGATGCTAGTTAACGAAATCATGGGTCGTGTTTCTTTCCTATTCCTGTTTCTTTGATTAATGCACGTGAGTTTTGAATCGGTTCAGAATTATCTACGGTTATTTTCGCAATGATTTTTAAAAATGAGTATAACTATAATTTTCTAAAAACTGAGAAGCCAATCACATTTTTATTTTTTTAAAAATTGCATTTTGGTTTCTCAAATACTTTTTTAAAATTAATTATCTTAATAACCCTAAATTCATAGATGGGAAAAAATCAGAAATACGACTCAAGATGATAATATTATATATGTCACTTCACTCAAAAGTAAACAATTGTCATTCAAAGAAAAAAAAAGACCACAATGATACCTAATTATTTAGAATGACATAAATAATAGGCCTCCACAAAACTATGGAAAACCATATACTTTTATCTTTATTAGAAAGAGAGGATTTTTGTACTTACCCTTAAAAGTGAATGGGTTTTGATTTTTATCCCTTACTTTTGATTAATACCATTTTGACTAATATAGTTAGTCGACTAAAATGATATTAATAAAAAATAAAAGGTAAAAAAATGGAGTTATGCTCTTTTCTAAATGAGTATTTTGTCTCCTTTTTCCTGTTAGAAAACTATAGCTTGGCCCAGCTTTCAACATGCCTTAGGCTTTCGGTATAGAGATGCAAGAAGCCCGGCCCGTCCCGTTCTCCTTAGGCCCATGCAGGCCGCGGGCCGGGGCCAGCCCAGCCCATGATTTTTGTGGGGCGGCCCGAGCTGGCATGTATAAGAATAACCTCGGCACATCCTACACAACGGGCCAATTTTACGTGGGCCAGGCTGGACCGTGCCGCGGGCCAGGCTGGGCCATACCGCGGGTCAAGATGGGCCGTGCCATGGGCCTTGAATGGGCTAGCCCACTCAAGGCCCATCTTAGCCCATCATGAGTTTTGATGGGCCAGCCCATCTAAGCATGCAATTTTCAATTTTTTTATTTTTATTTTTATTTTTTATTTTTTAAACAAGTTAACAAATATATAAGTTTAAATAGTCAATGAAAATATGAAAAGAGATATTTTATTTACGATTACCTCTTTAAATAAAAACCTTTATAAGGAAAATCTAATAAGACAAAGCCTTGGTAAGAAAAAAAGAGTACAATCATGATAATTATACATAAGATGTTGACAAAATTACTATAGAAAAAATATGAATATATTATGGGCCTAGATGGATGGGTTGGGCCGGCCCATTATGTGTCTAGACGGGCCAGGCTGGGCTGGCCCATCATGGGCCTAGACAGGCTGGCCTAGCCCGGCCCAAGCCCGGCCTGGCCCATGATTTTCCATGGGCCGTGCCAGGCCGGTCCATGAGCTGATATATGTTGGCTCAGCCCAGTCTACCAACATTTATGGGCTGGGCCGTGCCTTGAACAGTGATAGACCGTGCCAGCCCAACCCATTATTGTGTCAAGATGAGCCTGGACTGGCCCACGGGCCCTGGCCCATTGTTGCATCTCTATTTCGGTATCTTTCATATGTTGTTTGACATGAGAATCACGTGCCCGGATTCTATAGCAAGCGCAGAACTGGAAACTCCCAAAGATACCAATGTTCAATCAGGGGCGGAGCTAGGTGACGCACGGTGGGTGGGGGGCTGGCGTCTGCCCATGGGCCCACTATCCCCTTTATGATTATTGCCCTTCAAAATTCTTGCACTATTCTCCTTCGTTTGTCCCTTGAATTTTTTTTTTGTTTTTTTTGTTTTTTGTTTTTTTGATTTGTAAGATTTACATGGTATGTTAAGAAAAAATTTAATTTATCCTAATTTTTAATTTATTTTATGTTTTTATTTTTTAAGTACACTTATTTCAAATTATACTATTATATAAGTTCACAAATTTTGAACTCTAAAAGTTAGCAATTAATATTGCACTTCATCATATGCTTAGTTCATTTAGAAAAACCATAATAAAGATACAAATAGATAAATGAAGCAAAAAAGGCTATTGTTAGTGTAGTTCAAGTTTTTTTGTTTGATTTACATCCCCTGAAAAATAATTCTACCTCCGCTATCAATCTATTAAAATATAGGATCCATATAACAGAGGTCTGAATTTTTCGTTAGTTTTTTTTTTTTTTTTTTTTTTTTTTTTTTTTTTTTTTTTTTTTTTTTGCTGAATGAAGATTTCACATTAATGAACAAAATTGATTCTCCAAAAATATTTCACAACGTAAACAGGTTGAGCGAAGAGTTGTCTAATTAGCTATCCAACAGTAGTTGGAAGCCTCAAAAAGGTAAATATATCTTAACATATATGTATATATATAAACTAAATAATAAAGTAGTACACTAATTACTCATAAGGGAAGTTTCATTTGATCAGAAGTCATCTTAGATGACTACATATTATCTTTTCTGGTGACTCATGACATGACACTTTGTGATGTCTAGTTCAACAAAAATTAGTTAAACCCAAAAGAACAATACAACTGAAATTATAAATAACTAATGCATCATAAGTTAATTAAATACTATTCAAATTGGAAACTATATAATTCCATATTGTTGAACAAAACAAAAAAGGTAAACATAGAACCATGATTAATAGAAATCCAACTGAAAACATACTTGTGATGACAATATTATTTGTGTCTCTCTTGCATGTTGTGCATGCCAAAATTTTTCCTCATCATTCTCCCCCGCATATGCTCACCGGACCGCGCTTCTTTACCGTTGATCATAGTCGACCTAAGCCGTTTAATCGACCACCGCATGTAAGAAGAAGGTTCTTGACGAGCAACAAGGCTAGCTTACATATTTTGTGGAGAGGAGGCCAAGAAACGCAAAGGTTTGTAAAAAAAGGATCTAAAACAATTCAGGCGTAATTGTGCTCGTGAAAAGATACAAGAATTTTTTACAGAAAAAACAAGAGAATATTGTAATAAGATAGCATGGAAAATTATAATAAGATATATTTGAAGGTGATAATCATATATCAAGTGTGCAACTTCAAATATATTTCTCCTTCCAGGATAAAACTTTCAAAGATTATATGGAGGAGCCCCGTTCTTTTCGCTGATTCGAGTTTAGAATTCGAATTTTGCTACAGTAAAAAGCTCTCAGAAACAGTCACATTTAACTTTTTTGTTACAGTAAAAAGCTCTCACACAACATCACATCTCAACTCGAATTAAAAACTCGAATTAGCGAACCGAACGGCTTAGACTAATTGTATTACACTCTTAAATTTCTATCAAATTATGGAGGTGGGGGCTAGTTTTGCCTTCCTCATGTACCCTTGTACGGTTTTAGACCAAATTTTTTTATATACTCATATAGTTAAGAGTTTTAATTTGTTTCAAATATTTTATTGTCCGTTTAGTTTATTGCTAATTTGAATTAGAATTTTTGTAAGAGAAATACTGATTGTGCTTCAAACTACAAACTAAATCAGGTTGTAATAAGATATCATAAGCAAAAGCAAGCCTAAAGTACTTATGAATATTTTATTTTATTTTATTTTTTTTTTTTTGGGGAAGAGTGGTATTATTTTGGGAAGATCATGTTAGTAATACCCTAGGAACGCAACTCCAGGGATTACTTTGATGCTTGAAAATAATAAGCTTTTTACTACCGAGGTATATATATAGAATAGATGAGTTTTTAATGGTTACATTTCCAATTTTCTCACCTAATACTTAAGTACCCATTTTGATCTTTGTCTTCGATAAGATTGAAATTATAGCCCTCGCCAGCTTGTGAAATATGGATTGGGTTGAGGACATTTTGAACTTCCTTGCTGTTAGTTCATAAAAGCAGAAATAAGGTTACTTTCTGTTCCCGTGGTCCAAGTAGATTACCAAATGTCTACTGGGCTCGAGGTGTGAGAACAACACCCATTATCTTTTTCTCAGTAAAAGAAAATAAATAAATAAATAAGAGCTTTTTTTCCTTAACTTAAGACTGTCTTATAAGTGCCTCAGCATAAAAAGAAAATAATAATAGACAAATTAAAAAAAAAAAAAAAACAATAATAACTATAAGCTATTAAGTCGTATCATCCAATGCCCAGCCCATTCCCTTCCCTTTGCTAGTCCCTCCTGCTAAATAATTATATTACTTCCTATAATTTTTTTTTTTTTTTAAAAACATACTATATTAAGATGAGAGATTATACTTTCAAAGATTTTTTATTTTATTTTATTCTTTATTTTGACATGGATAATATATTTCAAATTACAAACACCAATTGCTATAATAAACACGGCGCTGACAGATAAACGGCATTTTGATTGACAAGAAATTGGGATATTATTAGTTATACATGAAGGGGAAAAAAAGGCAGTTCAATGCTATATTGCATTGATTACATATACAGATCAAATTAGCTAGTACTGATCAAATGTGATGATGAACATGATATTGCCGTTTCTAATAATATGTACAAATTAATCTACTTCATATCATTAGGCCATAATTCCCCATATCTCATTCAATTTATGCATTTTCATTCCCACGCTCATAACATTTCACAAAAACTCCTAAAATCCCTTCCAACTCAAAAAAAATCAGAGGGATATTATTATGCCCTTCTCCAAAATGTTGGGTGAATTACCTAATCAATGACAACTTCCGAAAGTCCTCCAAAGGCAACCCCAAGATGTCCGTGCTTACTACAGCATTCCTTCATGTAGCTCCTGCAGCAGCCACCCATTTCTCTCTTCTCCAAGCCCATGCAAGAATTCATGGATGCCGATCCCGAAAAGTCCTTGCGATTCTCGCAACACCGTCCCACTTCCCTCCTCTCCAAACTCATTGCACAAGCATGTTTTGACTCCGATTCAACATGGTTTTCATCACGCGTTACATCAATAGTGGTGTGATCTTTGTTGTGTTTCTTTGAACAAGAATGTTCTTCTAGAGGTTCGAGAACACAACATGGTTTAACAGTTTTTGGATGTGCTTCGTTGTCGTTGTGCCTTTTACCGCAGCAGCTCGAGTGGATTTGACCACTAGTACTTATCGGTGTTTCGCTTTCTGCAAATGAAGAAACAGAGTGGCTGCAATGCTTTGAGTCATGAACGCCATCGTGATCGCCTTCTCCACAACCACCAAGCCTTTCTGTTGAATTTGTTACATGATGATTGTCTTCCCCACATGATCTAATACAAGTCTGAGATCCTAAAATGCCGTGATCGTGTGTTTTTTCCGACTCCAAATCATGATTGATACTGTTACAGCTTCCATGGTGACAATGTTGCGCTCCACGCGATCTATTACTACTTGCGCAATCACCCTGCAAATTATCTGAGTTTTTACATTTGTTATCACAACAAGAGCTTGAAATGAGTTTTTTACTCTGGCATTTCAATACCCTTGTCTCGGAAGAACACTTTTCGGATTTGCACACATTTGGAGCTTTATTATTGGAGCAACATTGATGGTCTTTGTGGGGTGAGAATTCGCGATGACCGTCGTTGCATCCGTGTTTATGGACATGAGGAGTAGAACTAGATTTGCAGCATTTCCCACCGTGATTGTGGCTTCCTTGTAGAAGTAGCATGCTGTTAAGGATCACAAGTACGCAAGTCCCGACATCAGCAAGAACCGCAGCCCATACAAGAGGGTGGCCCGCAATGGCCAAGATGAGGATTGCAGCCTTAGTGGTGATTGACAAAATGACATTTTGAATCACTTTCCATGTGGCTTTCCTTGCTAGTTTGATGGCTTTCGGTATCTTTCTTATGTCATTCGACAGGAGAATCACGTGCCCGGTTTCTGTAGCAAGCGCAGAACCCGACACCCCCATAGAGACACCTATGTCAGCTGTGGCTAAAGCAGGGGCATCATTCAGGCCATCACCAATCATGGCAGTCGGCCCTTCCCTTTTGAACTCTTTGATGATTTTTGCCTTGTCTTCGGGTAGAAGTTCCGCGTGGACCACCCCAATAGCATGTCCTAGCTGCATACAATGTTAAACTTTTACAGTTTATCAACTCATTTTTTGTTGATCCTAAAAATACAATAGTATGTAGGCCAATCATTCACCAAGTGAAGTAATCAAATTATTTATTATAGCATGACTTTAGACAAAGCATAAACGATCCTCACCGAGCTTCTTTTTTTTTTTTTTTTTTTCCCTAGTGTCCTCAAAAAAGGGTAGAAATGCAATCATTAAGGACTCAAGGAATCTGAAATCATTATCAACTATGTGAAACTTGGGACGTCAAGAGTAATTTTCCCTTTGAGATATTTAGTAGCAAAAAAGTACTACATTATGAAGGAGCAGGAGATATACCTGCTCATGTGTGTGCATGGCTGCTGCATGACTATCTCCTGTGAGCATAGCCGTTTTGATTCCCAACAACTTAAGCTCTTTGATTGCGTCCACGACCCCAGATCGACAAGCATCGGAGAGCGTAAAAATTCCAGCCGATCTTCCTCCACAGTATATGTAGCCAACCGACTTTCCATCCTTAGCAAAGCCTTCTAAAGTAGGAACTGAAAATTTAGAAAAACACTAAGTGTTAGTTGGTTCAAGTTAAAGGGATAGAGAATATAGAAAAAAAAAATGTTGCCTAATTAACTTTATTATAAAAAAAAAAAATCACTTGTATGAAACTCGATCTCGGAAATCATTGGCTATCTCTGCCACATATATGGAATGGTTAACATAGAGATGTATGGGAAATAAGTCATGTAATGTCTTTCACCTGTTTCACAAGAAGCTCTTGTAGAAATTTTCTTGCTTCCAATGTAAATATCTTTTCCATCAATTCTTCCATAAATTCCTTCTCCGGGAAAATTTTGGAACTCCTCTACATTGTCAGGCTTTGGCTCAATTGAAAGCGATTTTCCGTAGGCGACCAGTGCAGTGGCCATTGGATGACTCGATTTGCTCTCGATGCTTGACACCCTTGTTTTTTTTAATCATAATGTGGGTGGAAGTGTGAGATTTCCACAGTTACCAAAGATACTTTCTACTAATTTTAAGCATCAGTTATGTTCACTTATTTAAAAAAAGGCTTAAGTTGATAGGAGATAGATCAACGACAATATTTATTTCCAAATAGAGGCAACTCTTTGAAGCCAATATCTCAAACAGTTTGTTTGTGTTTAAAGAAAGCTTCAAATGTCAATTCAGGAAATAGTCTTTACCAGTAAACCAAAGTTTCCAAGCCAACATCATCAAGAAGAGGCCGAAAATCGGAGACCACAAATTCACCTCTAGTGATCGTCCCGGTCTTGTCAAAGGCGGCAATCTTGATCTTGGAGAGCGTCTCGAGGTGATCGCCTCCTTTGATGAGAAGACCAGAAGTTGCAGCCTTTGTGAGCGCACAGAAAGTTGCAACAGGCGTTGAGAGGATTAGTCCACAAGGACATGCGCTTACCAAAACAACCAGAGCTAAATGAAACCATTTGCTGAGGTGTGGAAGTCTTAGTGCCGCAGGAATCACAGCCACAGAAATTGATATTATCAGAACCGCTGAAAACCAAAAAAACAAAAAAAAACATAAAAACAAACTAAATTAAATTAAAAAAATTTAAAACAGATTATTACTAATGCACATGAACCGTTTAGAAGGTCTAAATCATAAACATCATAAGGCATGAAAAACGACAATAATCGAGATTAAATTAAAAAACTAAAAGAATTACACAATGTACTCGTTCCTTGGAACTAAAGCTCTTTATTAGTCATGTACAACATATTCAAGTGAAAAAGAGAATTTGACAAACCTGGGGTGTAAAACTTAGCACATTTGTCAATGAATCTCTGAGTTTTTGACTTGCTGTTTTGAGCCTCTTCCACAAGCTTAGCCATTTTAGCCACGGCACAGTCTTCAGCCAAGGCCGTGGTCTTTACACTAATGTAGCCTATTAAAAATTAAAGCACCAAAAAATATGTCACAAATCTAAACAAAATTAAAACCTTGGTTCATAATTAAAAAAAAAAAAAGGGCAAGGAGGATTGTGGCAGCACCATTGAGATTGATTGTGCCGGCCCAAACGGTAGAATCCTTCTGTTTGGCAACTGGGAAAGACTCTCCTGTCAGTGTTTTCTCATCCACTTCACAGTTTCCTTCTACCACTATTCCATCAATTGGTATCACTTCCCCTGCCTTGACTGCTAGCACTGTGTTCAGCTTCACCTCATCGGCGTCTACAACTTCTCCGGTTTCCGCTATGACGGCTTTCTGAGGGACCATGCTCATCAGCGATGACATTACCACATTTGCCTGCAACGCATGCCATTTTATTTTTCAAATCATTTATTGTCCAAAGATCCTAACAATGACAATTTGTCATATGTTGTTAAGTTGTAGAGCCTTATTAATTATCCTGCCGATTTACTACCTTGTGAGATTCAGTTGCCCTACTTTTCATTATAAAAAGGAGGCGCCGGAGGCGCCGTTTCTGTGAAAAAAACACAGAGAGTTGAGTGGTATGCGATTATCTCTTGTAACTTCTTCTTACTCATAGTGGAAAGGTTATTTAATATAGGCAAAATAGTGATATTGCTACTCACGAAAAATACTCTCTAAATGTTGTGACAATATTGAATTTGGGTACTTTATAGCTAGGAATTCTGTTTCATAGAATTTGTAAGTAGTTAACTGCCCTGTTTCAACTCGGTCTTGTCTATCCTACTATTGATTGCAACTTAGCTTATTGTACTAGAAATGGCAAAAGTTGACACGAGATCATCGAATTGAATGGTAAAAGTGTATGAATTGCACATTATTTTGACTGGTACGTGTTCACACAAAAGAAAAGTGTTTAAGAGCATTGCTTTTTGTTATAATAAGTGGCGGATTTAAGTACAGTTTAGTGGAGACTACCACCTCCACTCAAATGTTTTTTGTAAAAAATATTACCTTTAAAAATTTTAAAATTTTACACTTAAATCACTACTGAAATAATATATGCCCCGACTAAAATAAATATATTTTCTTATATACCCCTATTAAAATAAATATATTTTTTTATATACCCCACACTAATTCACTTTACTCTTTTAGTTTTTGATTTTTTAATGTATGTCCTTACTAAAGTAAAAGGATGTAGTTTGCATATATTTCCGATATCAGTTACTCTCTCAACATTTACTTTAAAACATGCATAATCTAAAATTATTTTTGACTATCCTCTCACTGCTTTAGTTTTTGAAAGAATTGGTAGAGTAATATGATATCAAAATTGGAGTTTTTGAGTTCAATTTCTTTTTTTGCACTCTCTAAAAATTGTCATTACGTGTTGACTCAGGTTTACGTCATGAATATTATAGCTTTTCATTTGTGCGACACAAATGAACAAATCAAAGGCAAACATAAATTCAAACCACAAAAAGCTTGTGGCATTAATTTGATAAAGTAAAAAAATTATGACATACCACCTAATTTCTTGCTGCTTATCCAACTAATATTTATTTCATTAATTGATTGTTCATTATCCAGTCCACAAAAAGCTTGTGGCATTAATTTGATAAAAGTAAAAAAATTATGACATACCACCTAATTTTTTGCTGCTTATCCAACTAATATTTATTTCATTAATTGATTGTTCATTATCCAGTCCACTCAAAAAGTATTATAAATATAAAACCAATGAAAAAGTTAGAAATACTACTCAAAATGATAAAAAATTTACCCAGTACTAAGAACAAACAATTACCATTTAACCTATAAAGAGAAAATAAAAAGCTATAATGACATGGAATTATTTAAAATTGCATAAATAATAAAATTACAAAAAATTATGACAAAATAGGTACTTTTTTTATAAAAAAAATATTTCTAATAGTTTAAGTTTTTCAGAGAGAATTGATAAACTAACGCAACATTTTACATATATATGTCGCTATTCAACACTAATGTTCAAGCTATACACTGGACCAAAAAAGATTTGCTTGACTTATCTCATGACTCATAGTATTAGAGATTGTGCAAATTAACTTTATCATGATTGATAGTTTTAATTTATTATCCATCTAGTACATATTATTTGTCTTTTCTTGCCATCTTTAAAGGGCTATGTGAATGATTATTCTTGCTTTTTTTTGAAATCGTCGCTTTGCAAAAGGTATTTTCGTTTTTTTTTTTTCTGTGAGAATTTCAATTAATTGACACTTTTAATTCTGGAAACCTCCACAACACTTTCAGGTACTTGACTTGGACTAACGTCCTCTTCTAGCAAAAGAAAAATAATGATAACAAAAGGATATATAAATGAGGGAAATTTTTTTTCCTAATGATTGAAATTACTATTTTAACCGTTGAATTAGCTTTTAATTGATTTAATTTAAGATGATAAGCATTTGTATCGCGCGCTATAATTTTTTAATTGTACATTTACGGATCAGGCCATTGAAAATGTAACATGAGGACTATAATAGATTGTTTGTACCATATACGAGTTCTCTGTAATTTAAAACCCAAAAAAAAAAAAAAAAAAAAAAAAAAAACACACATAAATTTAGTTGCGCCCTAACCTTGTGGCTTGCCCTTGACTCGAGCCACTCGGCAACGGTGAAGAGAAAGACGATGGTGCCAGCTTCTACATAGTCACCCATAGCCACTGTCCCAATCACTGTCCAAAATAATATGTAGTTTCTTGTAAGATGATAAGCTTAACTAATGGGACGTTTATTTCATATATTCGTCTCTAATTCTGAATCATGATTCATAGTTTTCTACAACATTTTCTCTCACAAAAAATACACATAAAACGAGAATGGTTCTGACTCATGATTCTGAATACATAAACCAAACGTCCTCTAAAACTACTTTTTTTTTTTTACTCAAACCTCACTTGTACGGATAAAACCCCTTACTTTAGTGGACAAATAAAGAGATCAGATTAAAAAATAAAATAACTTCGTTTAAAAAACTATACTTCTTTTTCTTTTTTTTTTTTTTTTTATATTATGACTTCTCAAGAGCCCTTTTGGTCACAATTAAATTTCTCTATGAAGAGGCAGTAACATCTTCCAGGAAAAAAAGAAAAAAAAAAAAACAAACTCTATTAAGAAAAATAGAGAAGAGATGACTTTGTTTGTTTGTTTGTTTTTTTTAGAGGAATCTAGAGTCTAGAGAAATGCTCCTCACCAAAGTCATAAAGAATTATGCGCTTTAAACACTACTATAAAATTTATGATCTTACATTACCTATAATTAAAAAAAAAATACTTCAAAACTAAAAAAAAAAAAATAGAGTTTCTCCAGTAGTCCGCTTTACTCCGCTTTACTGGTAATACAGTTTTTAATTGTTAGATTTAGTTAAAATTATATCAGATTAAAAAAGTATATAAAATAGATGACTAAAAGATAAGAGATTGTCGACAGTCCATTTTTACAGGAACTATAAGAGCAAGTCCTAAAAGGAAAATGAATTAAGAGGACACATTCCTTAATTTTGTTTTTTTTTCCAAAGATCCTCCTTTAACGAAACACCAATAGGCCTAATGGATTGTACAATCACAAAAAATAAAATAATAATAATAATAATAATAATAACAATAAACACAGATTATGCAAGACCGTATAAAAATATAATAAAATAACTAAATATTTTTGTAAAATGAAAAAAAAAAAATAGATAAAATAAAGTTAGGTACCTGCAACAATAGCGAGAATATTGATATCAAGCCTAAGATTCCGAGTAGCTGCAAGAGCTTTGAGACAAATGGGCCAAATTCCGATAACGACAGCAGCAAGAGCCAACCATCCAAGCGGACGGTAAACATACTTGAGAAACGACAACAAAACCAAAACTCCGCAAGCAATTGAGTAAGGGCTTGGCCATTTCTTCTTGAAATTGTCACCTCCGTAAATTCTAACATTTGCTTCTAGCCTTGCTTCGTTTAGCGCCTTTACTGCAATATATTTATATTATAGATATCAACAATTTTTATTTTTTTGATATATATCCTTAATCATGATTGATTGTTTGCATTCTTTCATTTTTTTATTCGAATTATTTGCATTCTTTAGCCTATTAATGATGGTCAAAGTAATGCTTCCATAACTCCATCTATGATTATGCGGTCAACGCAAGAAGAGATTTACCTAATTGCGACAATTTGGTTCTTTAGACCATTCGGAAAATTACATTTACATCCCCTAAATATTTCAATAATTACACAATATGAGTATTCCTTATAAATTTACAGTTTCCTCCTTAAGTGTGGGGTCCAAATGCATTAAATTTAGGACAAATTACGTGGTTATGAAGTTAGGAAAAAACAAATGTTATAAATTGAAATTCAGGAGATTTTATAACAAAAGCTATAACTCAGGGGACCGTGTAATCTGTCCTTCAATTTATAACAACTTAAGGGATTCAGTTGTAATTTTATCTAGAGCGAATTTAACTGATAAAAATAAAAAGCCGTACAATATAAAATATACAATAAATGAAAAAAAATACTAAGTCGATACCAATTAGGCCATCGATATAAACTATGTTGTCTTGCAAAAGAATAAAAAATATTAATAAATAAATAAGCAAAAGCAAAATAATTTTCTTGGTGCATTATTTTGGTGGACTTGCCGAAAACATGGAGCTCTTGCTCTCATACACTGCTTAGCCCAATACTGAAATATCTTGTTCTAAAATTCGCTTCGTTTTTTACAATAGAAATCTATAAGTTATATGTGAATTCTATTATGAAGTGGAAAGTTGCTTGTTTTTGTTAATTAAGAAAAAATAAGGAACGCTGGAAAACGAAGGTGATTAACACAATATTGGAAGGGATGTGCAACGAGTATTTTTTTAAAAATATTATTATTCTCAAAAATAAATTTATTAATGGATAATTTAATAATAATAAAAATAGATGTGTAAAAAATAAAATAAAAGATATCAATAGACGCACCTTTAAAATAAAACAGAGGGCAAAAGCCGATATGCTAAACGGAAGAAGAAGGAATTTGAAATTTGAGAGATATAATGCACCAACACAACTGATAACAAATTAAAAACCATACACTAAAAGCTAAAGAACGCCAAATACTTCAACTAAATGCAATCTCCAAAAGCTATGTGTGTGTGTGTGTGTGTGTGTGTGTATATATATATATATATATATATATTTGTGTGTGTGTATGTATTTATATATATGTGTGTGATATATATATATATAAATATATATCCGTTCCTTCTAACTTTTGCATCATAAGCATATGACCAAATCCGACAGTTCATCGATCACACATTCACACTCACAAAATTGATACAAATAGGCCCACCAACTGACCCCACCCCATACATCATCTTCCACCTTTTGGGCTATTTTACTGCCTTAACTTTGTTGTGTTTGTGCACGATATCTCGCGAATGGAGAATTTTTTTAATCCCATTCAATAAAAAAAATATTGGAATGTAACAATAATGTCCTATAATTGAGCAATATCCATCCCACTTTAGGATTGCACAATCAAACAATCAGAAAAAAAAAAAAAAAAAGCAAAAGCACATTGCAGATCACAATGGTAAAGTAGAGGACACTGGAATCAATTAGGACCAAATCAAACCGAGCAAAAGATGATTGCAGGCCTCGATGGTACTAAAGTAGAGTAGTGGAACATAAAAAGGAGTAAAAAAAAGATGAGGTTTTGAAAGAGAAAAAGAAGACACGAAGAAAGCAAAAGAGTAGCGGTAACACAACTATACTAAAAAAATGTAGAAATAATTGAGTTCCTTAAGCGGGTCCCATGATCCAACCATATCCACCCCTGACGTGTGAAGAAATTATGGTGATCATGAAGGTTAGCGACCCAATAGGAAACTCACGGAATCGCTGATTGGAAGAAATTAAGGTGACCATGAAGTTTAACGACCGAATAGAAAACTGTCAAGTTTGAGATTAATGGCAGTGATATCCTCATCAATACTCTTGAGCATCACACAAATTATATATATATATATAAAAGTAGTGTATTTGTGGGCTTACCAATCTGAGTCTGGGAAATGAGGAGGCTGTCATGAACAACAATGACGGTTCTTGTGGCGATAATCACAGTTACCTCTTTGACTCCATCGAGAGGCTTCAAGATGTTCTCAATGAGAGGGACTTCGGAGGAGCAACAAAGTCCCAACACGTCAAAGTAGCTCTTCTGAAACTTTTTGGCTGTCTGCCCCGCCATATGCCAAATTAACTTAACTGCCCGGGAAAATGAAAAGATTAAAATGCTAATTGTGTTAGATCTGGCTTTTCAATGTGATCATAGAAAATTAAAAAAAAAAAAAAAAAAAAAAAAAAAATTTTTTGAAAACCACATTTTCTCGGAAACCCCAGATTAAAAAAAATGGATAAAATTGTATGGTTTCAGTGAACAAAAAAAAAAAAAAAGATTCTGAAAGTGGGTTTGTTGGAAAACACAAAAATGAGTACGTTTGTGAATGCGTAACATTTTATTTCAAAGGCATGGCAAGTTTCATGTGTTCTGTATTTTTTTGTGTTTGTGCGTTATAAAGGGAAAGATAACGCTAAAATGTGAAAGACATGTGGAGGAAAGAAGGTAGGAGAGAGAGAGAAAGAGAGAGAGAGAGAGAGAGAAGAAGCACCTTCTAAGAACTAAAGGGAAGGATTTTGAGATGTTCTCAAGCCTAAATGCGTGCGGAGGGAAGTAAGAAGTATGAGAGTTTAAGTTAAGGGGGGGGGGAGAATGTTGAGGGGTTTAAGTAGAGAAAGAATAGAAAAAGACACATGAGAAAAGAATATTGGAATTTTTTTTTTTTTTTTTTTAAAGGAAGATTTGAGGCCAAAAACACTAATTTTTCTTGGTGGGAATAATTGGGTTTGCCTTGATTATAATAGTGGATAATCAGTTAAGAGAAGGCAGAATGGAATCCACATATGAATCCATATAATTTAATGCATCTTGTTTATAGACTCTCAGAGTCATAGGGGGCGCAGATGTGCTCAAAGATGATGGAATTTGTTTTCCTTAAAAAAATTCTTTTTTTTTTAAAAAAAAAAAAAAGTTAAGATTTCGCTCACATTTTAGCTTTTATTAATATTTAGTCAGTCTTTCTATAAATTATCCCCATCTCTTCCTCCATCTTTTCCGCTACATGCTATCCTTTGTGCCTTTTTCACCGTCAGCTCAACTATCTTATTTGTAATATTCCATTTAAAATATTTATACTTTTCGGAGAAAATTTGTAAGATTATTTTTCACAAAGAGAAAAAAATGAAAAGAGGAGAATAAAATCAAGAACAATCGTAAGAATCAGCATAAAAATTGTTTAATTTTTCAAACTCTTTAAAACAGCATTTTAGGAGAGAGAACTTCACTTAAGAAAAATTAGTGGTTATTAGAATAATGATAAAGTAATGACAAACGAGTACATGACAACTGGTAGAGCTAGAGTGGCACCAAGGATTATTTGGCACCCCTCATAAGATAAAAGTCAACACTAATGATGCTGCGAATGGGATTCCAAGACCACGAGCTGTGATTGTGTTTTTCACATTTACAGGAGTTTTCTTAAATTTATGCTAATTTTGAAGCATAAATTATATGTATTATCCGTCCAAACCTTCTATGTGAAATGTTATGGTTGGAACTTTCTTTGGATGGAGAGTACGTAACTCTACTTCCTATATTGTGTAGCTTCTAATTAGTAAAAGTCTTGATGTTTAGATCATTCCATAACCCCCCGGTAATACTCCAACCCCCCATGAATTGGTTATTCCTAAACGAGTCACGAAGGGTATAACGAACATACTCTGTCTCCACATTGGATTAAGAACAAGGTCAAAAGGACACTACAATAAAAAAGTTTATTTACAACGACGAATTGTCATCGCAAATAACTATATTGTCGTCAGAAATATTATATTTGCGACGACATATCGTCAAAAATTAATCGTCGTAAAAAACTAGACGCAAATAATATATTTGCGACGACAGAGTTTTGAGATGTCGTCACTAATACATTGCCGACAACAGTCGTCGCGAATAAGTCGTCACGAATGTTCCGTCGAACATGTCATTGATGATGACGTGTCTTAAATTATTTGCGACGACATATGTCGTCGCAAAAGTTTTTAAAACCTTTTGCGGACATAGACTTCAAAGTGTCGTCGCTAGTAATGTAAACTATTTGCGACGACATTTTAGATTTGTTATCGCAAAATTTTTTTTTCTTTTTTTTTACCATACTCTTCTAATAATATTAACTATTAAATACATAAATTAGAGAAAAATTTAATAACAAAATAAAATAATAAAATTGATATTTGTTAATAAAAGATTGATATAAAATAGTTAACACAATAATAAAATAAGTCTTAAAAAGTAAATTAATCAAGAAATATTAAAAAGTATTGATAATAAGAAAAAAAACATATATTTTAATCTCTTAAATTAGCAGCAGGGTCGTCCTCATCCTCGTCTTGTTCATTTCACTCAGGTGGCAGAGGAACCAACAGTTAGAGACGGTTAACTCGCAAGAAGTTGATGTTGGGATTCGTCGAGCGCATGACTTCCATCATGATCTGCTAGTTGTCGAACATGTTGCATTGCTCGATGTAGAGGTTGTTTAGCCAGTTTTGGACATGCTGGTCAAATTAATCGAACACGACCCGTCCGATTGCGAAGCAGATGATGAGGTGGAAGCGCCTGAACGATACCTCCGTGGCAGTGTCGGTCCTACTCCCTTAGTGTGTCATCTGCGCTTGCCCAAGACTTGGGACATAATCCCCTCCTCATCGACTGCCGTGGATGAACCTTCGCCAGCAGACGGTGTCATCTGCATGGTTCTTTCCCCCTCCATCTGAGCCTGCAAAGGTAAATGAAATAAAAAAGAATAAAAATAGTATAATATGTTATGTTAAATATGAAAAAATAAATAAATTTAAAATTTACTTACAAATGTCTGTTCCGCATCCGGATTGACAAAATTCTGCCCATAACGATGCATGTCACCTCAATTCTTAATTAATGATCTTAGCTCCTGGGTCTTGGGAATTGCCTAATCAATATAAACGTGTTAGAATAATTATTAAGCCAAAGTGACAAAAACTTAACAAGTATGCAAATTAGTATTACCTTATCGAAACGATGCTGGGAGTATGACTTTCTACCATGGAAGCTAGACCACTTTTGACTTCCACGATTTTGTTGATTTGTAGTAGATTTTTTCTAGTAATGATCATAGATGAATTAGTAACATATATAACAATTAAATAAACTAATTAATCAAAAATAAGAAGACATAATGAAATTGAACCTGAAAAGCAAGGCACATAAACAATCATAGCAAGGTCCCCATTGCTCTTTTCTCCTCAAGTTTTTAGGAGGATTTTGCTTAACAAAATCCTCCTTTTTTGCCCTTCCCATCTTCTGGAAGTGTCTGTGCAAGGTAGTCGTCCAGTCCTTGTAACATTTACTGGCTTCATGGTCGACTACATCTCTAATGATACCATTCTCGCGGTTGTAGTTAGTCGTGGTTCCACAACTTTCCAATTCAGGATACTTCATATCTAAATCTTTCCACTCCCTACCATCAACTGGATGACGCATTAAGTCTAGATCCTTCGAACGCCCCTGCACATGCCACATCATTTCCTTTGCAATGTGACGCGAGCTATACAGGCGCCTCAATCGATCCTTCAAAGGAAAATACTGTAATACTTTTTGTGATACTTTTTTACCTTTTTTTTTTACTCTTCCAACGACTAGTGTTACATACTGGACAAACTTGTAGATCAGCATTCTCCTTCCAGAATAACGCATAATCACACTTACAGACATGTATTGTTCTGTAGCCCAAACCGAGTTTACCTAATTTCCTCTTCGCCTCGTAATAAGAATCGAGAAGTTTAATCCCTTCAGGAAATGCATCTTACAACAGCTTCAAAACATAGTTCATACACTCATTGGCCCATTTGTAGAGCACCTTTAAATGCATCAGTTTCACCAAAAAATTCAATGACGAATACTTAGTACACTCGGGATACAATGACGATTCGAGCTCGGATAATAACTCTTTAAATTTACCGTGTTATGCATCACCTAACACCTCAACTTGTACTTCATCCGGAATATCATGATCAGAGCTATTTTCAACAACATCATGTATAACTGCAACCATCTCATCAACTGATTCATTTATTGCATTGGTCACAACATCGTCTAAATCTCTTTTGCCATGGTAATGCCACGTCGTACATAAAGTATAAAAACCATATTGATGTATGTGTGCTCTAACTATTTCTATTGGAAAACACTTATGGTTTAAACACCTCCTACAAGGACAACTTGTACAACCACTTTCATCAACATGGTCTTTGGCAATGTTGATAAAACCAGATAACCATTCCCAATAATGATCAGACAACCAGTTTTTCAGATGTATCCAACTCTTGTTAATTGGAATCTTGACTATAAAAAAAAAAAAAACACATTCAATCATAGTTCATGTTTTTTTGTGACTATATAGTCACATTCATAAAGAAAGTTTTATAGTTCATGTTTAAACTTTATAAGTTTTATCAATTTTTATGAATAATTTATTCTATTATTATAGCACTCATAATGTTTATAATTACTTTTTAATTTAGTTTCTATTAATATAATTAAATCTTATTAATGAAATTTTTAAAATTAATAGGTTTTAATAAAATTTTGGCAGCATAATGACATATTTTTCTTTTTATCCAAAAATTCAAACGTGCAAAAAAATGGATTTTAAAAGATTTCGGCACACCAGAATTGCAAGATGTGCATGGCAACCAGAACAATCATCAAAACTTTTAATTTTAACCTAAATAAAATTATAAGTAGATTTTATAAAATAACACCCTAAGAGATTCACACACTTATACCAAATTTCAACAATCTCAAAATTCATAATCTAAAATTCAATATCTATAATCCAAACTTCAAATTATATACTAATTCTAAAATCTATAAATCAAAATTCAAAATCTAAAATCCATAATACAAAATTCAAACAACAAAAAACTCAACCATTTTAAACTAAAAAATACAATAAATATACAAAAACTTACAAAGTTCAAACCCACTAAAACGGGGGCTGAAAATGGCAAGATTAAGGGGGAAAACGGCACTGGCGGACGCCAGCAGCAAACGACGGTGGCGGATTTTGACGGCGAGGGCAGTGAGTTTGTTTTTTAAACTTCTTTTGATGAAAAAAGAATTAAAACTTATGATAATGTTGATTTGGTGAGGATTTAGAAAGACAATAGACGGAGATTTTGGGGGTTTAGAGTCGGAAAACTAGGGAGAGGCCGAGAGAGAGAGAGATCGGAAAAAATTGAGGAGGAGGCTCGGGTCCGGGGTATACAGAAAGTGTTTTTTGCGACGACAAAAAAGACTATTTACGACAATATGTCGTCGCAAATATAACTTAATTATTTAATATTTATAACGAAGGTTCTGGAATTATTATTTACGACGACATATCTAAATGTCATTGTAAATAATTTTTGGGAACCACCCAATTTTCCCGCTGTTTATTTTAGCGAGGGAATACAAAAACAATATTTGCGACGACACATATTAATGTCGTCGCAAATAAATTTTGGGAACCGCTAAAATGACCCCTTTTTACTCGGGGGACAATAAATAAATGAATTATTTTTTGTGATGACTTGTCATCACA